TTATTTGTATTTTAATTATCATGCCGTACCTTGTGTTTGATTTTGTGAAAAAGCTGATAAAAGGCGTTTTTAGTTGTGTAAGAACCTTCCTCAGTAGAAATGAATGCACTGGGGGCTAAAAATGGTGGTCGGCCGTTACGCCATCTCCAATAGACAGCGCCAGTCCAAGGGGCATCTACGTATATATGTCTGTGGCGCAAATACCCTGTGAAATAATTAAAGACATCATGCTAGATCAGCAGCCTGGATGACACCTGGTTCTGCTCACTACAGGGGCCGCTTCAGATATTAAATAAATAAATCTAATAATAATATACCAAAAATTCATCCAACCGAGCCCTTCAAAACACTGAACCGAATACGAGTTTAGCGTACCGTTACACCCCTACTACATTATATTTGTTTATATTAGACTTTATTTAAATGTTTTTCTAAGCAAAAACAGAGAAAAGCTACAGCACAAACATTAAAGGCACACAATGTAAATATATGTGTAAATATATGTATAAAAAAGCCTTCATTAATACTTCCCTACATGTCAGTAATAGCAGTAATAACCACCCTGCTGAGCTGCATTTATAATGCTGGTAAACAGCAGCTAAGTTGGTTTTATGTCCTTTTCCTCAGCCTCCATCCTCAGACTCCTCCAGAGCTGTGGATGGTGATGGACTCGGGTAGGGCTGCAACAAACCATTATTTGGATCGTCGATGAATCGGATGGGATCTAGACTCGATTAATCGGATTAAATGTGAAAATGTAAAGATTTCTAGGGAAACATTTTAACAACAGAACATAATTGCACTCTGTTTGTTAACAGAGTTGTTAAATGTTAAAAAAACAGTTCATTAAATAAAAATAAGAAACATCCTGGATCTGTTTCTCCGCTTTCTTTACTGAAGTATCAGATTGATAGTCTGAATCAGCAGATTCTCAAAATCAAATGATTTAGACTCGAGTGCAAAAAAACCTGATCAGGAAAGAAATAAAGACATTTTTCATTTTTCTAATTTTATCATTGCTAGGAAAACATTTTTTCTCTCCTTCCTTTAGCGTCTAAAACAACAAGCCATCACCCAAATATATGCATAATTAAACTATGATCAGTAAAATTTTATCTGTTTCATTAACATGTTCAGTAGCAAGCAACTGGAAATGCTAATAACATTTGTTTTCCACTGCTTAAAATGTAATGGTGACATATCTATTATGTACGAGTTAATAATAATTCAGTTTAAATTATGTTCACAGATAGATGGGTTTATGAATTAAAATCTACAGTGGCTTGCCGTATTCTTTCAGCTGTTTTGAGCAGAGCAGACTCGAAGCAGCAACTTGACTGCAGCGGTTCAGGAGCCTCATTTATCAGGCTTGCTTACGCACAAAACGGGGTCGGAAAACTGCGTAAGCAACTTTCCACGCAAACTTTGGGATTTAGAAAAGAAAACGTAGCAGAAAAATGTGCACAACTTTAAGTTGACTAAGGACCTTGCTTATGCACAATTTGGACATGGAGAGCACCTGCAGTGCTGCTGCTGAGAAGGATAAAATTATGAAATCCAGCAGCATTATCACTTGTACTGCTCTGTGTTCACACAGAGCAAACCCCCCCCCCCCCCCCCCCCCCCCCCCCACACACACACACACACACACACACACACACACACAGTCTGAAGTGCAGAATACGGAATGCAGAATATCAGCGGGGGACAGATTGAGACAGAATGTCATGTATCTCTGACAGTGTGTGTGTCCTGTCACTGTGACCTGACCGGTCATGTGCCCTGGCTACTTGGTCAAGGGAGATCTCTGTTTGGCTGACTGGTTAGCGCGCATGACTTTCACCCAGAAGTCTGGGGATCGAATTCTGATCAGACCATTTTTTTATATCCGCCACAGATCTCTGAAAAACTCACAACATTGACGGCTTCAGCAACGCTGTTCCACTCCGTGGATTTTCTCTTATTGGTTTTGCAAAAGCACTTCCTTTCGTTTCTCCACCTCACCCACAAGTACCTCAATTTCTGCTTCGGAGAACTATTCGGAGAACCTCTTCAGCACATCCTGAGCTCCTTCAAAGGAATCTCCTACCATCTTTATGCAGATGACATCCAACTGTACATCTCCTTTAAGCCCCATGAGATGTCTAAGCTGCAGCTGTTACACACCTGCTTAGACTCCTTTAAAACCTGGATGGCTGGGAGCTTTCTACAGCTGAATGAACATAAGACTGAGATCCTCATCTGAGCCCCAGACAAGCTGGTTTCCAAAGTCAGAGACTCTCTTGGTCAGCTTGCTTCTCACACCAAACCTTCCGTCAGGAATCTTGGCGTGACCTTTGACCCAGCTCTCACCCTGGATTCTCATGTCAGTTCTCTTGTTCGCTCTTCCTTCTTCCATCTCAGGAACATTGCTAAGCTGAATCCCATTCTGTCCCGCTCTGAACTTGAGACAGTTCTCCACACCTTCATCTCCTCACGCTTAGACTACTGTAACTCTCTTTTCACGTGTCTGAGCAGAACCTCCCTGAACCGTCTACAGGTGGTTCAGAATGCCTGTGCTCGGCTTCTGACAAGTCCTCCAAACACACCCACATCACCCCGCTTCTCCTCCAGCATCACTGGTTGCCAGTCAACTTCAGGGTTCATTTCAAGATCCTGGTTCTGGTCTATAGGTCCTTACATGGACAAGCACCATCTTACATTGGTGATCTTCTTAGTCCCTACACCCCCAGCAGGTCCATGAGGTCCAGTGACCAAAGCCTACTGGTTGTGCAGCACCAGGCTAAAGACCAAAGGTGACAGATCATTTGCTGCTGTGGCCCCCAGACTCTGGACCTCTCTCCCCCTGAGCCTGAGATCAGTGGACTCAGTGGTCTCCTTTAAAAAGCAGCTGAAGACTCACTTGTTCAAGCTGGCTTTTGTATGACCTTCTTCACCTCTCTCTCTTTATTCTGCTCTCCCCACCTATTCCACCTTCCTCAGGATCCACTGATTTCCCTCTTTCCTGTTCTCTCTCTCTCTTTCTTAACTTTTTTAATCACAATTGCCTATTTTTGCTCATTTTAAATATATTTTTAAACATTTTCTAAATGCATTTTATATTTTTACATTTTTTGTTTTTGTGAAGCGCCTCGTGATTTTTATCTTGAGAGGCGCTATAGAAATGATACTTTCTTCTTCTTCTTCTTCTTCTTCTTCTTCTATTGCTTCCTTGCTCTGCGGTCACCATCGTTAATGGTGGAGCGCTGCAACAGCCGGCTTATGTATATGCATGAGATCCACAAGAAACTTTGCATTGACCATTTATGACAGAAAGTGGGCGCGGTGAGGGTGGGACGTGATCCAGAAACACCTGAGAACCTTTCTAGGTAGTTTGTGATTTATGAAGCGGAGATTGCGTGCAGCTGTGCGTAACTCCATGTTTGATAGATCACAAACCTACTTGGCGTAAGTACTTTTTTTTTTGCTGAGCTTAAGTAGGGTTTTAGTAAGGATTCTACGCAATGTTTGATAAACGAGACCCATGCTCCATTGTGCTGCAGCTAATGAACAGGATGATGGTGGGACTTTTCTTCTGCTTGTAGAGTTTAGATGTTCTTAGTTTCACAACCATCGTGTTTTTTCTGAACCCACTTGACCGTGAGCCTGCTACCCACTAGCTTTAGCTAATCTGCTTGTAGTTACACTTTTGATACCAAACTTTGGACCGTTTCTGCCTCAATGTCTCTGCTGGTTTCTGTTTTCGTCCACAACACCTAGATTAGCACAGTGTGAGCCAGTAAAAGGCATCTTCCTTACACAATAATTACACGTATACCTCTCTCATTCTGATCTGCCTCAGTCTGCTCTGTTGCCGCATCAGATGAGCTGTGTGCATTGACTGTAACACAAAGGTTGCACAACACAGCAGATCGATGACGAAAAGTGTTGCCAGTGCAATTTTTCATCAGATTTTATTGATTCGTTGTTGCAGCCCTAGACTCGGGTTTACTTTTTTGCAGTTTTGCAGACTTTCCATGTTTCAGCCCTGAAGATGATGCCCTGCATGACGAGGTGCTTTGTTAAATTGCTGGTACTCCTGATTTTGGTGGCACAAATCTTCTCGCTGGTGTTGCATTTAGCTGCTGCTTACTTTAGCAACATGCACCCAAACATTTGAGTTTTTAGCATGTTCATCCACGAACTGCAGAGGAGTGTTGTTGAAAGGATAACGTGACTTGAGACTAGTCATGTGGAACAGTTAAATACTTTTTTTCTGATATTGCTTCCTGCAGAATGTTTCCACGCAGTCCCAAAGAGGTCCAGCGTCGTGGCCCCCGCCCTGGGCACCAGTCACCCTTTCTCATGGTCTCCTGAGATGTTCTGCGCTTCTCCTCTGCTGGAGGTCTGTGTTAGGCTTACCGTTTTCTACCACTGCTGTAGCACTGGAGCCATTTTGACCCGAGGCTGCGCTGCGTTCTCCATTATTGGTTCCACTACTCTTTATTTATGCTACGTTTTTTAATAAGAATGATTGTGGTTGACAGATTAAACTTTAGAGGACAAATATAGTAAAAGAGAATTTACACACAGTTGTCAAAGTTCAAGACTTTTTTAAGACTTCTAAATTCAATGCTTTTAAGAGTTTTTAAGACAAGTGGGAGCCCTGTTAACTGGTAACTCCTGGTAAAGCCCACAGGAAGTTTCATTCTTGTTGTCCACGGACCATGAGAGCAGCAGGAACTTTTATTGAACTGCTTGTTGCACCATCAGCACGAGTCCGGGGTTCAGTTCCAGCTGCCTCCGATTTACTAAAGGTCAGCTATCTGGAAAAATGAGACGTCCTCCAGACGAACACGTGTGAAACACCAAATAGATTTCTGTCAGAGGTCGCCCAGCTGAAGGCTAACTGTTTGTTTTGCTAATCAATCATCAGGCTTCCTGCGCAAGGCTCAACAAAAACACCTTTAATATTCAGTCGTTTTGGAAGAAGAAACGCCGTCTCAGGTGTGAAGGCTCACCTATGCAAGGGGTGTCGCCTACCCGACCCTCCATCTTGTTCATCATTCCTCCAGTGGAAGTTGCACACGCGACGTTACCCTCCACGTCGACCGCCACGGCTCCTACTGTGCCCATCTTCCCCCTGAGGAGGAAATCACATAGGTGATGTGAGTGGTCTTTAAACTAAAAATGTTTGGGTGCATGTTGCTAAAGTAAGCAGCAGCAAAAATAAACGCTTCATAAGCACGGGACCTCCCAGAGTCACCCAGAGGGAGTGAAAGGGGGTGCCTTACCACCAAAACCTCCAGGAACATCTGCCACGACAAATGACCCAAACGGAGTCTAGAAACCGCAAATTCACTAAGACTAGATGGAGTTTTGGAAAAATGTTTTATTGCCTTGGTAGTGGAACAGCGTTGAAGCGCTGAGCTGTGTGGGGCAGTGCCACGAAGTGAAAATAGTAAGTTAACACTGGGCGAGCTGCCGCGTGTCAGACAATTATTGCAAGTGTGTGTGTGTGTGTGTGTGTGTTTTAAATGTTTACATTTAAAATGACTTGTGCAATTTTCAGACACCGTTTTGTGCTGAAGCAAGCTTATAAATCAGGTCTCGGGTCTCAAGTCCATCACAGGGACACAGGACCATAAGCAGTCACACCTTGGGAAAAGCACTCATTCCTTCTGCAACCTTTAAAGAAAACATGCGACCGATCTTGGACTGTAATGTTCAAATAAATCAAGTTATTCAGCAGCTTCGCCTCAAGGTGTGGTTCACTCGTTTAATCCATATGTTTGCAGTGGTCTCTAGTAGGAACGAATGCCTTGTAAATCTTACCCCAGGGATTAAAAGCCCAGATTGACCTGCTTCAGAATGTGCTAGTCAGCTGGAGGAGAAAGTAGCTTCAGGATCTAGAGTCTTAATTCCTGATATTCTGACATCTATCCTCTGATTGGCCAACTGCAAGACGACTCTATGGCTGACTGTTTGCTCTGCAACGCTGACGTTTTATCTCCACAAACAACACAAGCCTGGAGGAGTTCTGCTGTGTGGTGGAGTTGCTAATGTTAAAGATTAGCTTCTACTAGCCAAGACGTTCTCTGCTGTTTCCTGGACGCTAAACCAACAACAGCCTTCCCCGTCGTGAGTCAAGATGGGTGAGTCCATGAATGTTAAGTGACAGTGTGACGTAGATCTGTCGGGCTTTTCTATCCTAGAGTTTCACCGTCTGTTTTCTATCAGAAGCTAATGCAGGAGATAGGTGTAGAAGACTATTTTCATGTCCAGCCTGCATGAAACACTCAAAACGACCCGTTAGAATCAGAAATGATCATTAAAAATATTTTTCAGAGTTCCACACCTCTAAAGGGTCAGACTGGATCAAGAACATCTGTCTCATAACACATTTGGGTTAGTAGACATTTAACAGCGTAGCTGGTTTGCCATTGGGACTAAGACCAACCAGATCTGGGCGTTCCCTTCAGCAGCGAGAGTTAGTCGGCTCTAACCACTGGGCTTGTGACCGTTTTGTTATTTCAGCTGCTGACCCGACTGAAGCGCTGATTTTAGTTTGTTTCTGAGTAAATCAGAGCTGAGTGTTACGGCTCACATTTGGCACGCCACAGGGTCAGCACCAGGTTCCAGGTTCTTTCTCCAGCGCATGCGAGAGTACTCTGTGACGAGGGACTCATGAGGAACCTCTGGGACTCCCATGGACCTGGCAAACATACTGGCTCCTTCTGCAGTTAGACATGCATGGCTGGTCTGAGGACAAATCAGAGAAACACATCTGTCACGGTAAACTCCCAACTAGCCTGACTACAGATCGCTCCTCCACTCTGGGCTGCTATCCTTAGTTTGGACTAAATGTGTTCTTTAGGCAGTGTCTGTACCTTGTCCATGACCATTCTTGCCAGCTCAACAGGGTTAGCTATGTTCCGTACTGCAGACACGGCACCGTTGCACAGTGTTTTTCCGTCCATCACCAGGGCATCCATCTCCACCTCTCCTTTAACGTTCAGCACCGAGCCGCACCCTGAAACAGAAACGTTCTGCTGCCAGAGTGGACTAGAGTCAAAACAACCAGGTCAGCAGCTGGTGAAGGGTGTGAAACCTAAACTGTCCCGTTAAATCTAGTTTTCCTTAAAAATACATCACCTAAAATGTTTTTACAGACTGGACATGTTTCTGATTGACTGCTGACTGGTCAGCTGACCTTCAGCTGTGGGACTCCTCTCCAGGGTATCCGCGGGTCCTTAAAAAGTCTTAAAAAGTCTTAAATTTGCTTTTCCAAATTTAAGGCCTTAAAAATCCTTAAAAATGACAAATAATCCTTAAATACAGTTTCCAAAGGTTTTAAATGACCAAAGACCCAATAAACAAGATTATTTTATTTCTAAAACATTTTCGTGAATTTCTAGTTAGTCTTCAGCATTTTTTGTGTGTGATGTTGGCGTAAGCGGAACCGTACACATTCGGTTGGTTTGAGAAAGGGGGCTATTTTTAGATGAGCACATTAGCTGGTTAAGCTAGTGGGAGCTTGCACCATGGGGAAGTGCAAGTTTAATGGTAACTTGATGGCTAATCCCACGTTCACGACGTGGTTAGCACCGGTTCCAGGCAATAGCTGGAAATTATAGCTTAAATTAAATTTAAAAAATAGCTTAAATTGGGTCAAAGTGGCCTTAAAAAAGGTCTTAAAAAGTCTTAAATTTGGCTCCCTTTAACCTGCAGATACCCTGCCTCTCTCACCAGACAAAAGGTCTTTGCATGGAAAAACAAACAAAACAAAGAGAAAATGTTTAGAGTTCAGCGCAACACCCTTACCCTCACTGCCCAACCCCTGGGTGCCAGTAGCTGACGAATGCCTTCTATCATGAAGTACATCATACTCGATGATGTTTGATGCTAGAGTAGCAGGTCTGTGGTTATTGCGGGCAGATAGAATTTATTATGTCAGAAACTCCAGAAAACACAGGTGGACACCTCCACCATCTCCTGGATTAACGACTACCTGACAAACAATTCAAGTTCACTTTATTTATAAAGCTCTAAATCACGACAAGAGTTGTCTCAAGGCACTTCACAAAGTACACGTTCCAATACAGGTCAGGGGTCTCGTTTATCAAACATTGCGTAGAATCCTCACTAAAACCGTACTTAAGCTCACCAAAAAAATGTACTTACGCCAAGTAGGTCTGTGATTTATCAAACATGGAGTACGCGCAGCTGCACGCAATCTCCGCTTCATAAATCGGAGACTATCTAGAAAGTTTCTCAGCTGCATTTTAGTCACACCCCACCCTCACCACGCCCACTTACTGCTATAAATGGTTGATGCAAAGTGCCTTGTGGATCTCATGCACATACATAAGCCGGCTCGTTGCAGCATTTCGATCACGACCGCAGATCAAGGAAGCGCTATTTCACAAGCAGAAGTTGAGGTACCTGTGGGTGAGGTGGAGAAATGAAAGGAAGTGCTTTTGCAAAACAAATAAGAGAAAATCCACGGAGTGGCACAGCGTTGCTGAAGCCGTCAATGTTGTGAATTCTTCAGAGAGATCTGTGGCGGATATAAAAAAAAGGTCCAATGGGGATTCAATCCCCAGACTCCGGGGTCAAAGTCACGTGCGCTAACCAGTCAGCTAAACGGAGATCTCCCTTGTCCTAGTAGCCAGGGCACGTGATCAATCGGGTCACAGTGACAGGACACACACTGTCACAGACGCACAACATTCTGTCTCAATCTGTCCCCCTGCTGATATTCTGCATTCCGTATTCTGCGCTTCAGGCTGTGTGTGTGTGCACGCGCGTGTGTGTGCATGTGGGGGGTCTTGTTCTGTGTGAAAACGAAGCAGTACAAGTGATAATGCTGCAGAATTTCATAGGTGTGTCCTTCTCAGCAGCAGCAATGCAGGTGCTCTGCATGTCCAAAATGTGCGTAAGCCAGGTCCTTAGTCAACTTAAAGTTGCGCACATTTTACGCTGTTTTCTTTCATAAATCTTAAAGTTTGCATGGAAAGTTGCTTACTCAGTTTTCCAACCCCGTTTTGTTCATAAGCAAGCTTTATAAATGAGGCCCCAGGTCATTAAGCCAATCTGTAAAAAGTTTCCTATATAAGGAACCCAGCAGGTCGCATCGAGTCACTGACTAGTGTCAGAGTCTTTACAGCAATCCTCATACTAAGCAAGCATGCAGCGACAGTGGAGAGGAAAACTAACTTTTTTGTTGACTCACTGGGGACCGAGAAGTCAGAGCAGATGTGCGTGCGTGCGCGCACACACACACACACACACACACATACACACCAAGTAGTATTTCTATGGCTACATTGTGATTTATTTGTAAATATTTGATTTAGTGAGAAATAAACATTATTGTCTCTATCTTTGTGAGTCTGTAATTGATTCAACAGGTGAATTAGACCCAATTCAGTCGGTAAATCAAGTCGTCTTTTATGTAAATTAGGAGTGAGATTAGTTACAGCTTGTCAATCTTTATCGCAAATTAGTGTCGTCAAACCGCCGTTTCCAGGCGCCACCGGTCCCTCCGACCACCACCAGCAGGCAAGGAGGGATACTCATTCTCTGGTCAGAGCTGGGATCGAACCAGCAGCCTTCCGATTACTGGACAGATGAAAGATACCAAACTGAGCTCCTTCAATGTTCTAAAGTTGGCAGCGAATGTCGCTAAACGCTGCAAAAGCCCGGGCTATCTTGGCAGTGGGGCCAGGGAAGACAGACAAGACCATATTGTGTATCCGTATTTGTTGCAGCTCCCTGGCTTTCTTAAGAATCTTGGCAGAGTCCAAATAGTACTGTAACCAGATGATCGTGGCACAGGGGCGTGTCTGGGAGCCAACGACCAATGAAATCTGTCAAGCAGCAGTTCCTCTCCATGAGGAGCATAGACACTTCCACAGCAAACAATGCTGTAATCCCACAGAATGAATTTTCCACGATTTTTAAAGGACAAACTCTAGGAGGTGCAAGGCCAGATTTCATGGCTCACTGCAGAAATAAAAACACATGGTGAATCAACAGACAAACGCAGCTTGCAGGGATGCGGATGCTGAACCGGTCTGTTGTGGCGAAGAAGGAGCTGAGCCGGAAAGCAAGGCTCTCGATCTACCGCCCAGTCCTCACCTATGGTCACGAGCTTTGGGTAATGACGGAGCCGGCAGGAGGCCCCCTGGTCGACCCAGGACACCAAGGAGAAAGTACATCTCAGAACTGAACCAGGAACGCCTTGGGGTCCTGCCAGAGGAGCTGGTGGAGGTGGCTGGGGAGAGGACAGTCTGGAACTCCTTAGTTGCGATGCTGCCCCCGCGACCCGGACCCGGATAGGTGGAAGAAGACGAGACGTGAAGATGCGTTGACATTTTTATCGTTACGCACATCGCAGAGGTAGCTAAATCAATCAAGCTCAGCACAGCTCGCTGTCGACGTAAGGTGGACAGCGAGCTGAAGATGTGGAGAGGGGCTTGGCGTCGGTCACCGGCAGCAGCAGAACCAGAGTGCAGTGATGAAACTTTGGCTGATATCCCTCCTTCCTATTCATTGTCCCTCTCCCTTTCCTTGCATTATTATTTTTATCACAAATTTTATTTTATTCTTCTTTTTCCTTTTAAACCTATTTTTAATCAATTTTTGAAATCTTTTTAATACTTTCATTTATTTTTTGTGAAGTGCCTCATGACTTTATCTTGAGAAGAGCCATATAAAGGATTGTTTTCTTTCTTTGTGTGTTCACATGTGAGCGGCGGTGGCAGAGGGGTTAAGAACCCACTTTGTGAGCTTGCAGGTTGTGTCCTTGGGCCAGACACTAAACTGCGTTCCCGATGGAGGTGGTCAGCTGTGGCATCTGTGTTCCACAGCCTCGACTCTGTCAGTACGCCCCAGGGCAGCTGTGGCTATACTGTAGCTCACCACTACACGTGTGTGTGTGCATGGCTGAATGACTGGTTGTGCTGAAAAATGCCGTTGAGGGCTGTAGAACCCTAGAAGGCACTATGCAAATACAGACCATTTACCATTTGTGTGTGTGCGTACAATACTTTGCCATGTTTTAATATTTCTGTGTACAATACCTGCATTAAAGAGAGGGTTGTTCTCCAGCTGGCTCACCGCCGCCACCACAGCATCCATACTGCTGCCCCCTCCCTGGAGGACCAGATATCCTGACCGGGCTGCTGAGGAAACCCCCATGGTGGCCTTTTCTGATCGCTCCTTTGGAACATGGCCTGCCCCTCCATGAACCACCACGACTGGCAACATGTCCAAGAAACACCTAAGAAAGGATGGTTGTCAAAGTCAGTAAGTCTTTGAGCACAATGAACAGGTGTCCCATTGAAAAACTCAGAAGGATGATATATGACCTTGGTTTCCTAATCCCGGTGTGTGAGTCCCCTCACTAAAGCTGCAACGGCAAATTTGGAAAACAAATCAGCTCCAACCATTTTTTCATGCCTCTTAACGACGTTCTTTTTTTTTTTTACCGTGTCCTGTCTGGCTGTGAAGCAAACAGAATTGATGTCTGAATGCTGGTAACAAGCCTTACAGATTTACTCTCAGGTGGAGCATCAAAGCGTCTGCTTTTAATGTCACGCCTGATACTTAAAACTTTATTGTTATTGTTTTTGAATGCTTTGTAATTCCGACCAGACACGGAGTCAGAGGTGAAAGAGAAAGGAAAAGACAAAAGGTGGTGGTGGTGGTGGTGGGGGGGTCCATAAAAATAAACAATAATGAACAATAGTCTGCTTCTAGACATGCAGAAAGAGAAAGAGTAGAAGAAAAAAATGGGGCACACAACAATACATCAGGAGCAAGCTGTCACTGCGTCAGCCTGATGATGAACTATAAAATCAACATTGTTTAACTGAACAATCACACGAAAATAAATCATAGTGCATTTAGTGGCAACGACAGCCTTAAGACATGTGTTGAACGTCCCCAAGCCCATACTTTTGAGAGCACCATGCTCACCTGTGTGTGTACACACGCTTGTTTATGTCTATAAAAGCGTCCAATAGAGAGTGTGAGGGACCACAGATCCGCCCCCCAAAGATGCGCAGGAGACAGAGGGAGCTCCAAGTCCAAGAGATCCAGGCGCTGCCCTAGAACACAGGAACCCCAAGGAGACTGCAACCAGAAAGGCCCCCGCCCCCCTCGAGAGGCACAGAGGATGGCCCCCGGGGCACAACCAGCAGCCGGCAGAGTCCCGGGAGATTTCAGCGGCAATCCCACAGGCCCGCCCGCAGCCTCCCACCAGACAGCCACTGGGATTGATCAGGCAGATGCCAAAAATCTTAAACCCCCGACCCGAAAGCCACGAACACTTAGGCAGACCAAGGCACCACACTCCACACCAGGTGTGGCAGGGGGACGGGAGACGAAGATCTATATCATCAAAAGAAGTCTCAGGAGAAGAGAGGAGTCAAAGGCCCCACCTGACTCTTAACGACGTTCTAACATAGCACAGCTATAAATATACTGTGAAGATTTTAAAAAAGATAAATTAATGAAGTGGTCTGTCTAAAAACCTATAACACGTTTCAGGCCGAAAGCAACCACTGGACCCTCCGGTAGTTGGTGTCACCAAATCACCGTACTTCCCTGGGTCCTCCACTCATCACACACTCACGTATTTAACTACAGAACACCGCAGGTGTGAGAGGATCTCCGCTCAATAACATCAGAGGAGAAACAGCCGGCTGCTACCGCTTCACCTTGAGGACAAACTACCAGAGTCCCAAATAGAAAATCACCATTTGAAGTCACGGACAACAAAAGACGTTTGGACGTAGAAAACAGCGACTGGTGGTTAGCGCTAGAGATGCACCGATGGATCGGCATTTGATCGTAATCGGCCGATAGCGCCCCTATCGGTTTTGATCGGAGTTTTCAAAATAGATCAAAGCAGACCGATCAGGTAGGGTTGTCACGGTAACCAGTGTAGCGGTAAACCCCGGTAAAAAAAAAAAAAGTTGACAATAATAATAACCGTCTTGTTTTAAAAAAAAAAAAAAACTATATTATCTTGGTGGGTTTACCGTGGCTGCAGTGTAGGCGCGGTGACCCTTACCAGCCACCGTATCATCTGCTGAAGTTGCAGGACCGGCGGCACATGCTCGCTTTGCTGTTTACAACCAAAACTTTCTTGAAGCTAAAGCTGAAATAATGGCCAAAGGAGGAGACGGCAGCGCTCAGGAGGACATTTTTTATCCCTCAAAGAAGACAAAGTCGGAATTAGGGGCACCTTTTAGATATTTGAAGAATGCCGAGGGAGTTTATAGAAGACGGACGGCTATCCTGTTTGCAGCACGTACAGAAAAAGTGTCTGTGAAAGGCAGCAATGCTTCAAATCTCATGACACATCTGCGTGACCATCACCCACAACTCTACAGTCAACGCAAGGCAAGTTAACGTTAGCTTTTTAGCTAAAATGCGTGATCCGAGGATTTGGGTTGAGGGAGAATGCAACGAGTGGCTATATAAAGCAGCCGCAGCGCCGCTACCTGCATATAAACCGTGTCGCGGACACCCCCATGTTGAAATGACGCTATGCATTACGGGGCTCCCAGGGGCAGATAAGAGTTGGTCTCTCTCCAAGAATAATTATGAATTTAACAATGATTACTGCCTGATGACATTTCCCCACATCTGCAAAGCTCACTGGAAGGACACAAACCGAGGACAATATTTTCCTGATATAGGGTTTATTACTCAAGTAAGGGTAAAAAAGTATCTGATTATAAGGCTACTTGAGTACTGAGTATCATCTGAACTAATAATTTTAAAATGATGACATCAAACAGACATAAAATAAGAAGTCATGGGCAAATATTGGTAATTTAAAGACTAAAGGGGAAAAATGTAAAAAAAATAAACAACATCATTACAAAATAACACATTTTAGGCTAAATTTAGACACAAACTGAGGACAATATTTCCTGACATACAGGGTTTATTTAATTGTGTGAAAATGTAGCAAGTTTTAAAAAAATATACAGCAATAATACCGAAAACCGTGGTAATTTTGGTCACAATAACCGTGAGGTTAAATTTTCACACCGTGACAACCCTAATACAGACCATTTTAGAGGTTACATTTCCTTTATTCCCAGATCATGTAGTTTGTAGCACTCATTCATTATAATGTTGTAGAAAATTTCTGGCCAATCCACGTGATCGGTATCGGTGATCGGTATGGGTGATCAGCATTCTTTGATATCGGTATTGGTGATCGGCAACAAAAAACCTGATCGGTGCATCCCTAGTTAGCGCCATCTTGTTTCCTCTTGAAATGTGGGGTTCTGGGTCCAGCAGAAGCATCTCAGGGAAAATATCTGAGGGGAGCGGTGAGGGTTCTATGACCATGTTTGCATTCAAAACCTAGCCTGTTCCGTAGATTCGCTATAGCAGCTTTAATGTGAGAACGTGACGTGGTGTGAGGAGTTTCGATTGGTCAATTCGGGTAACTAATATAGTCCAGCCTCAGACTTTCCTTTGGTAGAACTCTTCTAGTTATGTTGAGCTCAGGTTATCCTGGCTCATCCCTTTAGTTATGCTGCTATAGACTGGAGGACATCCTGACCACATTATTCTGGCTTTACTCCCTTTATCCCCTATGTTTGTGTTCTTTTACAGAAATGAAGACAGGTCCAACCTTTCTGTGTTTATCTGGTGTGACAAAAGAAGAAAAGAAATCAGCAACTGTTGCTGTCCATCGACCTGGGAAGGGTCACAGTCCATCATTTTCAGAGACTAACATCATTCCCAAGTTTTTAAAACGTTTCAGCCAGAGGACAGTCTGCACAGAAGAGATTACAGCAGCTCACCCAGAGGTCAGCATCAACCAGAAAAAGGATAATAAAACCTAGAGCTCCATCTCAGACTACGGTTAAAGGTCACGAGAGGGTTTCAGGAGAAACCTGTCTGCTTTGTTCACGTTAGTCAAGTTTGACCTGAACCAACCATAACCAGGAACAATGAGGCACAAGTGGAGATGTTTCCCCACAATACACAGCTGCACAAACAGTTGAACCCACCCAACAGAACACGACCTGGTGTAACCTATTAACCTGGCTCCAATGGCTCCAATAGTCACAGAACCAGCAATCAGGTCTGGGCTGGTTCAGCAGCTACAGGACTCCTCTGGATACCAACCTCACTGAAGCTCAGGCTGATCTGGGTCATGAAACCGAACCAGGTTCCAAACACAGCAGCAGAATCAGAGTTCAGAACCACAGACTGGGCCACCTACAGGTGGGTCAGGTGGACTCGGTTTGAACATCCAGTTCTAAACCAACCATCTGTTTGCATCATTTGTGTTTTGCCTGAATCGGGGCCGGTGTTGTGTCATAAATCGACTCGCTGCCAAAAAATGATTAGCCACCGCGGGATCGCGCACGGTTAGGTAATTGCATTTCTAGACGAAATTCCCCAGGATTTCGCCCTAAAACTCAGCATATCTAGCAATATTAGGGCTGCAACAACGAATCGATAAATTCGATGAAAATCGATTACTAAAAGCGTTGGCAACGAATTGCGTCATCGATTCGTTGTGTCGCACAACTCTTCCAAAAGCGCCCCCCCCCCTTCCCGAATCCCGCCCGCCGTTGCGCGTAGACCAGAGCAAGTCAGATCAGCGCGAGGGAGAGCCGCAGATCAGCGCGAGGGAGAGCCGCAGATCAGCGCGAGGGAGAGCCGGCAGATCAGCACGAGAGAGAGCCGCAGATCAGCGCGAGGGAGAGCCGGCAGATCAGCGCGAGGGAGAGCCGCAGATCAGCGCAAGGGAGAGCCGCAGATCAGCGCAAGGGAGAGCCGCAGATCAGCGTGAGGGAGAGCCGGTAGCGGCAGATCAGCGCGAGGGAGAGCCGGCAGACTTGCGCTGCTGCGAACCGGTTCCGCATTGTTGCACAGCGATCCAGGCAGCTGCTTCCAGCGCACGGTCCATTCTCAAAGTGGCGCAACCAAAAAACTATAATTAGCACACGATCGTTCTTGTCTGCACATCTTCTCTATTTTCTGTCTTATTTGTGCCTGAAGCTCGCTACTGCGGAGCTCATCACCTGTGCTGTGGTGATGTCACCTCACGCAGCATCGAAAACGCGCTCTGCGCTTTTCGGTCAGGAGATCCCTTTGATCTGCTCAAAAGTAACTGATGAGGTGAAAAGGTAAGAATCCAGGCAACAGATTTGCTGGAGAATTAAGAGGAGATGCAGGAAGATGAGAGACAGACAGGACAGGAAAATAGTTAAATAAAAACAAAAAATCAATCAATCAATCAATCAATCAAAGCTTTATTTATAAAGCGCCTTCCACAACCCTGTCAGGAAGCCCAAAGCGCTGAAAGTGAAACAAAGCGCTGAAAACAAAGTGTTGAAAAGTAAAATGTAGGTAGATTTATCACCACTACACGTTTTTACCAGTAAAAAACAATAAGTTATACACATGTCATATTTATACATCTGATACAATTCAGATCACCTTCAAAACTCAGTCACACACCCAGGGCCGTTTCAAGACATTTTGGGGGCCAAGGCAAAATGACACCCCCCCCCCCCCCCAATAACTGGGCTCCCCAGAAGCCTCTGTGTAATTCATGCCCTCTCCAGTAGTGTTAGTTATATGGTGTTTATAAAAGCCCCTCAGACATTACTGACATGTTCTAATATATCAGATGAAAAACTAAATTATCAGACATGCTGTCTCATCTGCTTCTTTTATAAACTTGCAAAAAGTAACAAAACCATTTGAAAGCCACTATTTGTGGATTCTCTGAAAGTTTCCATGGAGTGTGTGACTAGTTATTTTTTCATTGATCCTATCGTCTAATCTCACAGCTGAAACAAGCATCCTTAATAATCTGCACAGGAAGCGTACCAATGCTGTAGTAAAACAAAAGGTATAATAATTTATTATTAATAAAACCTTGTTGCAGAACTAAAGCAGAAAAATTTGATTTTGCATTAAATATGCTAAATATTTATATATGAATTGTTTTAGAGCCCTTTAATTGGCAGAATCTGATATTAATTTAGTTCTTACAAAAAATGGGTCCCAACATGGTTTGTGTGGCGTTGCCATAGTGTGACGTCATAGGCACAGATCCCCTGTCCTCTTGTTTGGAAATGGAAATATGGTCACCCTACATTAAACAAACTGTCCACCCGGGCTTTTGCGCTGCACAGAGACGCTTCGCTGCCTACGACTGAACGTCAGTTGAGAGTCAGTCTCATGCAGAATGACCAATGAAGAGAGGGCCTCAAGTTAAGACCCTCTCCTCATTGGTCAGTCCACACGAGGTGGGTCAAAGGTTACTCTGGGCGGGTTACGTGTTGTCAGGCATTCAAGTATTGAGTATATTTACTGCATATTACAGTAAAATATTCTGTATGTGACCACATTATGGTGATCCTCGGGTCGTGATGATGGAGCCCTTGAATATTGTTGCCCAGGGTACAACAAAGTGTTAATCTGGCCCTGGTTCCGCCGTCACATTCCCGCAGAAACTGGTTGATCACACCGGGGCCAGACTACTAGCATGTGGTTTTACAACCACAATGTCCTCAGAAGCAAAAACGCTTTTAAAAGGGAGGGAGGAGTCCTAACTGTTGCTGCAGGCGTGTTGTGTGAGAGTGCAGTTATATACTGGTTAATATATTTTTGGGTTCAGTTGCTTTCATGTGGCCTAATGTGAGTCTATTTGGGATCATTGGAATGATCAGCAGCATTTCTTGATGTGACTTTATGGCAGTTGCCCAGGGCATCATCACAAGGAGGATGGCATTCATTTACTTTTGTTTTATTTGGTATTTTTTCAGTCATTTTTGGAAATAGTGATCAATTTTGATTAATTCACAGCAAATGTTTAATTACATTTAAAATATATGTCAACAGATGAGATCAAACAAAACAGATGAGAATTGCCCTTAAGCTGTTTAACTTGGACCAAGCATTTTAGGTCACAGATAGATGTAGCTTAGGGTCTCTGTCTATACACCTTATAAGACAATTTAGGTGATGGCATGTTGTTTTTCTGCTATTGAACTGTTTTCTAATAATGTTGTGTTAAATAAAGTGAAGGAAGGAGAGAAATAACGTTTCCCTAGCAGTTTTTAAAAATTTCCCCATGTAATCCGATTAATCGATTAATCGTGTCGAGACCCCATCCGATTAATCGATTATCCAAATAATCGTTTGTTGCAGCCCTAAGCAATATGGACATTCAGAAAGCAGAGATAACCTCTTCTGGTACTTAAACAGATGTTTATCGCAGATATTAGTTTTTTCCAGTTCGGAAGTAGTTTTAAGTGTTGCTATTTGTCTTAAACGTTCACAATGAGGATATATTAATCCTTTTTGCAATATTTGCGATTGAAAGATGGTTTGTGGTAAGAACTGGCTTTCTTTATTTTACAGCCTTGATACTAAAAAATAAATAAACAATGTAAAATGGTGCCCTGTATTGAATGTAAACGTCGTATAAATGTAAATAAACATTTCTCCAGCGATTTGATTTTTCCCCCTTTCCTTTCTTTAGTCCACTTGACATGGAGCCACAGTTAACTAGTTTGGGGCACATTTTTACTTGAAAAATAGTATTTAAACTGATCAAGCTTGGGCTTTACAATGACACTGTGTAGGTTACTATCTATACATTACGTTGCTCTATTTAAAAGTAACAAGATAAAAGCACTTCAGCACATAAAATTAAGATTGTCACTTGCCAAATAGAGACTACACCCTCCTGTTTACCTATAAGAAACGCCTCAAAATATCTTTAAATTGTTTATTGATGATTTAATTGTAGGCAAATAAAATGGCATTTTACTTGCCAAAAAGTGATTGAATCGCTCAGATTTTCATGGAGGCTAAAATTGACCAAATAAAGGTTTTATGTATTATCTTTTGATGTTACTGTACTCATACTGTCTACTGTATCATCATAAACACCTCAAAAATAGCAAAAAAAAAAAAAAAGAAAAAAAGATTTCCCTTGCCAAAAATTGATTACAGTGTCCTGGTCCCCTGTAAAGGGTTAAATTTACCTAAATATTACTTTATTTATTATCTCTTGATGTTATTAGTCCCATCACAGGATGCTGGGTCTTTTCCACATTCATAAACACCCCAGAAATGGCAAAAATAAAAGATAATTCCCCTTGCCAAAAATTGATTACAGTGTGCTGGTCACCAGTAAAGGGTTAAATTTATGTATTTATGAACATCTGTTTAAGTACCGGAAGAGGTACTGCTTTCTGTATGTCCATATTGCTAGATATGCTGAGTTTTGGGGCGAAACCCTGGGGAATTTCGTCTAGAAATGCAATTACCTAACCGTGCGCGATCCCGCGGTGGCTAATCATTTTTTGGAAGCGAGTCCATTTATGGCACAAAACCGGTGACGTGAACGTTTCGGGCTGAACGTTCCATCGGGACTGGACCGACTCATTTCGATCGTCTTACTATAAGCAGACGCGTTAAAGTCTCGAGCTAAAGCAGTTATCCCCGCCAGAAATGACCCCTGCGTCGGGAGCGCGTACAGGTGTTCTATCAGATTCAGTTACCTCCTCGAGATCTGTTTCGGCTCCAACCAGCCCCAAAATGCGTGTCCTAACCCTTACCCTGCCCACAACCCAAAAACAAATATAAAAATCGCCCCACGCAGAGTGCTTTCATAAATTATAATTGTGCTAAACATACATTTTTGGTTATGGTTAGTTTAGGCGTCAGGGTGAGGGTTCTTCTTTGTGAGAGGGGAACTCAAGTCGACATAACAGCAGTGCCCAACGCAGGGGGTACTACTACATTGGCACGACACCTGTCCAGCTGCACAGACGTTCAGACAGCTGCCTACATCATGCAGGTTGTACAGATTCCTGTCAGAATAATCACACACATGCAACGTGCTTCCAACCTACCGAGTAATGTAATGGCTCCTTCAGCGGTGTTCAAAGGCCCAATGTCATTACTCGCACTGCGGTCTTCAGCAAAGTGCACTAGGATAAGGTGCGCTTAGGCTTCCAGTGCGTAGTACACAAGTGTGCAATGGCCTTGTTCGAGATGAGCAGCGCCTCGCCTGGAAAACACGGACCTGAGACTGTAGCAAGAGATGGACGGATACATCCTCTTCAGTCCGGACCCGCCTTTCTCGCCTCTGATTGGCTAGAAAGGCTCTACGATTGTCTATTTAATTTAGCAGCAAACTGGTTCTTCTTGTCAAGTGCAAACTGTCCTTCTGCCACCAGCAGAAAGCTGTTTTGAGGAGTTCTGTAAAGAAAACGTGAACTTAGTGTAGCATGTGGCAGATGGTCGTCATAGGTGAAGGAGGATTACCAAGGCTGCACGTGGATAAAAGGGTGTGTCGCACTAATTATGGCCCCCTGTGCAAAAGGTACTAAAGGGGAACTGTATTATATTACGAAAAAAATGTATGTATATTTAAAAAAATGACACAAGAACATATAATGTAAAATATAAAGAATTATTACTGTAAGTTTTGAGGAAGATCACACAACCAACAACAAAAATTTTTTAAATGATAATCTTGCTACATTAGCGCTATAGAGCTTTTTTTTAAATTAGTGAACATCAATCACATTACATTGTAACAACAACCAAAACTCAACAAAAAAAAAGAACAACTCAGTAGATAAACCAAAACCTTATAACTAGACCATTAGAAATATTCTAATCAGCAGAAACAACCGGATTTATAAGATTAACAAGACACGATAAATAAATAAATAATAAATAAATAAATACAATATTAATACTACTAATAATAACACAATAATAATAATAATACATATTTAAAGACAGAGGACCTTAGTTCACAGGATCTTCACTAAGTCTGACAAGTGTAACAGCCTGTATAGTCTTTACATTTTTAAGAGATTTGCAAAATAGCATAAAATCGTTTTGGAAAAAAGGAAAGTTTGGCTTCACTTTCATAAAACGGCATTTGTGAATAAAAAATTTCCCAAAAATTATCAAATTGTTAACGAATTGAACCTGATTATTTTTTTCTATAGCTCCGGGAGTTGATGTCACTTCTCCTGGCATGCAACAGTTCAAATCGAAACGGCGCCATCTTGACAGGCAGAAGCCTGCAGCTGGACTATTTGTTATTGTCAGAAAACTCAAACGGGAAATATGGTAGATTCCTGTTGTACCCCAGGATGCCAGAACAGACGCGGACGACATAAGGGATGAGCCATCTACAGGATTCCCCAAGATCCGGAACGCCGCAAACGTTGGATCATTGCAGTAAAACACGCTAGTGACCAGGCTAAAATGAAACTGTATGATCCCAAGAGGAAAGGTTTTCGCTTATGCAGCGACCACTTCATATCAGGTACTTAAACCAACATTTCCTCAACTGTTTCTGGTATTTATTTTAAATGCTTTCATTACGATTCTTAGCGGACTTCCTAAACTTATTTTGGCGTGGCTTTTTCTGTCTTATTACTCATAGCAACAAGTAAACATCACATAAAACATTGCCTCGTGATTTCTGCGCGCTACCGTTTACGTGTCTTATGATCCCAGCAATTAACCGGCTAAGCTGTATTTAATTTTAAGCAATGGTTGATCACCCTTCAGATCACACATAAAAAGCACTTTGGATTGCTGTCATCTGTTAGCCTGGCAAGCCAGACTAAATAAATGTATTATTTGGGACTAAATAAATGTATTATTTAGTCTGGCAACTCTCCATTGACGGCTCTCGGTTGTGGGGCGGGTTCTACCGTTGTCTTTCAAATGATCTCCGCATTCCACTGGACAATGAATGTGACATACTCTTGTTTCACTCTGTTGCATCATCCCACCCACCAGGCATATAGAGTGCCCTGATTGGCCCACAAAAGGGATAAAGCTCTGTGATTTCTTCACTAAGCAGATAGAGCACTATGATTGACCCACCATTATGGACCAATCACAGCTCTTTATGTGTTTGAAACCCCTCTAGAGAGTTGTGATTGGCTAGCCAGAGTCCTGGTAGGAGCTGCGGAGGTTCCAATGGAGCATGCCTAGACCAAACTTTGCAAAGCAAGAATTTGGTCTAGTTCACTAGGCTAGTTATCTGTCTCACCGAGACAGATCTCAGACAGATCCTGAGACGCTCCTGCCTGACATTTATTTTATTCACGGAAAAAAATCTGACTAGTGATTTCTCATGGAGTTCAGTTTATACATGCAAACAGCACAGCACTCTATTTAAACTTCTTACATGTAAATCTGTTATTTATCCATCTATCCATCCATTTTCTTCCGCTTATCCGGAGTCGGGTTGAGGGGGCAGTAGCCTATGTCGAGAGGCCCAGACTTCCCTCTCTCCAGCCACTTGGGCCAGCTCCTCCGGGGAAATCCCAAGGCGCTCCCTGGCCAGGTCTGCTCCGACAGCTTCTGGCGTTTTTAAAAAGAATCCCAGGGGCATGGTAAGGGTTGGAGATGTTTAGTCTATTTAATTACTGACTATATAAAACTATTTCTTCGGTTTTAAAGTGTGAAGTAAACTCCGACGGAGTAAAATCCTAGCCAATCCCGTTCATTTTGTTTACCTTTGTTGCCTGCCAACATGGCATGTACTCTCTGAGAGTCACGTGACGTCCGGAGTTCTATAATAGCCCTTCTGTCCTGTTTTGATAAATATTTTATGTTTCATAAAAAACAGAAAAACAGAAAATGTTAATTTATAATCTTGTTGCATTTATCAAACCGTTGGACTTAACTCTTGGCTCTCAAGCATTAGAGATTAACATGTGCCTTACGTGGGTATGAAATTTAATAAAACTGCACTATTCTGCCAAGCTGTGTGCATCAGGTCTGTTTCTTCTCTAGGAAAATGAAAACTGGTGAAAAATAGGTCTAAGTCATAATCAGTTTTAGCTTAATTTTTGATTAAATGATACACATTTAATCTGATGATGAGAGATGTACTCTAAGTAAACAACCTTAACCTATTAAAGTGAAGACATAGGATAGCTTAATAATTAAGTAATGTGATAACCCCAATAGAGCCAACAGATAAAGTCAGTCTACAGTGTGATAAAATGCAACAAGATTTATTACAAGTTCACATTCGACATTTTTCAGGTTATTTTAGGAAAGAAACTGAAACTAATTTGTTGCAAAACATGAAAGGATGTTTATTATAGTGATGAGTTCAAATTTTCTTCAAAAGACTCCTCAAGATCTGGCTGTAAACATAAAAACCGGCAGCAAGGGAAAATAGTTCCCTCTTACATGAAATAGACAATCATATGCAGGACCTTCCGGGACCTTCCTTGGACATCCTAGGATTCCAAATGACGCGTCGCGGCTGCGCCCCCCCCAGCTGCAGATCACGGACTGATACGGGACCGTGTCACGAAGTATGGATCTAAACGAGCAACGGTGTAGAGGGTCACAGTTGCTTTACACTGTTTAAAACATAAAATTTGTCTCTTGTTGCTTTTGCTGCTGGAAGCTTCACTGTACATTACGGGTCTTCAGTGAATTCATTAGTGGGTTTAAATGTAAAAAAAAAAACACATTTATACATTTAGTTTACTTTATAGTCATCTTAAGTGCATTTGTTCTATTTTTACAACATATGAGATATCAATAATATTCATATTTCCATGTTTGTCCAATGAACTGTCAGTAAATTCGCTGAGGAAATGTCCACTGGCCGCACCTATCGGACATCCGAGCCCTCCTATAGGGAGCCTGAGTCTCCTCCCTTTCCGGGTGGCTCATGGGTCCCTAGAAGAGCAAAAAAATGAAAGCAAGTCAAAGGGACTAAAAATGCCATTTTCTAATTTGCTTTGCCATAGACCCTGGATCACACATATGTTGTACTATAAAGTAAATGAAAAATAATGATGGACGTTTCGACCTTGCCAGTTGAGATTTATCAGCTTGTAAAAGTTCATAATTAGCATGACTACATCGGCACATCGCATATGTAAAGTCTCCACAGAATCTCCTCTCCCTTACTGTAGCTGCTACTTACCAAATGGCCAGATTTATGGTGGTTCTTTCCTCCTGTGGGAAATATTTGAAGTTTGCTGAACTTAAAGCCATTTTCCCTCTTTTTTTCTCCGTGTCTGGTTCGATGACGTCACTTTTTGTGAAGCGCATTTGTAGTCTGGACTTATTTTCACACAAAACCTAAAATAGCGTTTCCCCCGTTCAAAAATAAGCATGTTGGTATCAAAACACATCTTTTAAATTCACAGACATCATATGTGAAATCCATGGCACAAAATGAGCGGAATTAGAAAATAGCATTTTTAGCCCTGTTGACTTGTATTAATTTTTTCTTTCTTATGGGGACCCATGATACGGAAGTAGATTTGGCATTTCTCAGGCTCCCTATATCAGTCTGCAGGTACTTGGAGCTGTGAGGGTGGGAACACACCCATCAAACGGAACCCATGTAGCTAACTGACCCACCAAAGCTAGGTGCTAAGCTAACGGAGCTAACATGGAGGTAGCAACCTAGCTGCTAATGGAGCTAACCTGGAGCTAGGCAGCTAAAGCCGAAGCTCACACAGAGTTTGTAGCTGATGGAGGATCGTGATTTTGCCACCAAACACAATCATTCAGAAAACAGAAAAATGTCCAGTCGGTAAATATGTAATAATGCCCTTTTGTTTGATGATGTGGAAACGGTTTTCCATGTGTGTTGATCATTGTTGAAGGTGAGCTGCTTCCTGTCTTGGCCTCTTGAATGAGATTTTCAATCTCATGGGCATTTTTTACTGGTTAAATGATAAAGTAAAAAAAACTATTTTCCCGTATTTTTTTTACTTATTAGTGTTTGAGATATGTGAAGAAGCTTAAACTTATTGAAGTTAATTTATTAATACTTATCTCCCATTTACAAAAGCTTCTTACAAGTGAAGTAGCATTTATTCTATAATCTTAGTACAGTTCACAAAAAGATTGTGCCATATGCTTCTTTTAATGATTTTTTTTTTTTACTCCATCCAATTCTGCAAAATGTGTGAGAATTTTTTTAATCATTGGGTTAGGGTTAGGGTCTGGGAGGTTACAACTTTCACTCTTTTTGTTAAAACGCCTCGGGGGGTGGACTGCTGGCGGTTGTGAGTGGGGCCCCTTGGGGATCTTGGCGGCGGCCATGGGTCACTGCCTGGCGGCTGCAATACCCCTG